CGTGTGTTCCTATGCAACAATTTTGCATGTTCTTCACATGTACCCCAAAACCTAAAATGCAATAAAATAAATAAATGGGAAAAAAAAAAAAGCTTTAGAGCAGGAGGGAAAGAAAAGTACATTTGGAAGAGACCCCAGCAGGCACTGTGGAGGTCCAGTTCCCTGTTTAACTTTAATCTTAAGACGTTATATGCTGGCTCACTTCCAGCATCTTGCACTCCTTTCCCTTCATTCTTCTCTAAGGGTGAGCTGCCCACATGCATGGTGTCCTCCTTACACTTGGGAGGTGAGCATGCGCATTGTGTTCAGAAAGTTGTGTGCATGCCCACATGATGCTTTCTTTCCTTTTCCAGTGGAATGCCTCTGGAAGGTCATAATCCACCATTTTGTCTCTTAATGTGCATGCTGGAGCTCACTCACCCAATTCCTGAAAATTATTGGAAGTTGATTACCAATTTCAAGTGTTTTTATCTGTTTGGGAAATTGCCTCTGCCTGGTGCCAGTGATCAATTATCGCTTTAGTGTGACAATTCTGGACCATCAGGAAATTGCTTATCTCTGGCACAGGCTGCCAATTATCATTTTTAGAAAGGCAGTGTGATAACTGCCGAACCATCACTTGATGGTCACCTGACATTCCTGGTGGGTGATGGGGAGCCCTCTCCTGCCCCATTCCTGCCTGGCTAGCTACCTACTGCAACAAAATCAGATCAGGGGTTGCCATGAGTAATATTTTGGTGACAACTGACATGTGGGAGAATTAGGGAATATTCTGTGGAGATAAAAATGGTCTCTATCTTAACTGAGTTGGTGGGTACATGGCCATATATACATTTGTCAAAAATTATCAACCTCTTCCCTTATAAATGGTTGAATTGTATGTAATTATTCCTGAATAAAATTGATTTTTAATAAGAATGAAGTAGCTCAAGCTAAGGGAATATCAAGACAGAGCAGCAAGCTTGTATTAAATGTCAAACATATCTAAAATCATAATATCTTGAGACAAAGGTTGGGAGAGAAAAAGACAAAAGTAATAAAAAGCATGGTTTCACTCATAGTAGCTGGAGGTAGATAAATTTGGGGTTGGTATTTTTAGATCAGATTGTGAGATTTCATAGTGACCTCAAAGACAAGAACTAGTTCAACAATAAAAAAAGAGATAATTTAAGATAAATATTGGACAAAACTCAGGAGAACATGCTTTTTTTGTCTTCTAGATAAACTCACCATTGTGCATCATCCAAGTGGTAAGTGCTTGGTATTTATTGAAGGATTTAAGACTCAAAGTACAGAGTAAATCAATTTCAATATTAATGTAAACCTAATAGGATTAGGAAAGTCAGTGTAAAAATTCTCATAGATTTTATATTTATATGCAAAACTACTTGACATCCAAAATAAACGGGAAGCGACTATAAAATAGCAACACTGAAGACATCACGATATAATAAAAGGACAGTGAATTTTGAATTCTTGATTGATCCTACTGTTCACAACTTACTAATTGTGACCTACGGCAAGTCACTAAGCTCTTTAGGCCTTGGTTTTCTCATATACAACATGTAGATAAGAATTGTACCATGGGTAATTGCTAGAAAGACTGATGATATATGTAAATGGAACCTTGTGCTTGATACTTGAGAGTTACTGATAGAGCAAATGAAATTTGAGAAACACTTGAGGAAGTAATTCATTTCCATGTGATTGGGGGAATGTGTGTTGAATACTGAGACAGTAAGGAAGAGCTAGATGTCAGCTAGGGAGCTATTGAATATTCTAGAAGCAACTGTCCACAGCTTGGACCAAAACACTGACTGTGGGAATGAAGAAGCCATAGAACTGAGCCCTGTGGCTGAGATGAGAAATGCAAAGCCAGTGATAAAGGCAGGAGGAGCAGTAGTCTAGGAGAGCAGGGAGTAGAAGGAGCAGGTGTTCATGGAGAAGTGTGTTTTGTAATTGGCCAATACTGGTGAATGTGGAAAAGAAAAGGAAGAAGGAATAATCAAGTGGAGGTTGTTACTCAGTGGTGTTGGAAAGATTGCTTCTAAACTCAATTGACTCCTGTAAGTCCTCAGTAGCCTACCCAAGTCAATCCACATGGGCAGGAGAAATTAATAGCATATGCCAGAGGGCCTTTTCAATATCCCCCTTTTATCTTTCTGGTAATTTTTCTCTTCATCCGTATCCTACCTTTGTAAAAACCATTTTTAAGAAGTACTGAATAAATGATTCATCAAATATGTAAATGAATAAAGAGGTAATAACAGAGTTTGTATTTCTAGGTAAGGAAACTGCCCACAATGAAAATATGTTTTATAACATACCCTTCAGCAATAAGGTAGGTTGTATTTATTTTGATTTTTATAAAATGCAAAAAAATAACTTGGTTAAAAAAGAACATGAAAACCTTCTATTCTGTCTGTGCTTTTAAACATTCTAACAAATATTAACAAAATAGGTTAGGTGCACCTTTATATACAAAATCTATGAACAGTAATTTAAGGAAATTAACTATTCAGAAAAAAACAAAGAGGGAACTCAAAGGAAAAAGCCGCTGAGACCAAAGTGTGGTTATATTCAACATGCACAGACCAAAGAAAAAATTAGAGGAATTATCAATACATGAGTTTCAACAATAGAAATATGATGAGTCTACTGCATTTGAATCACAATGTATACAGTCCTTAAATTCTGGGATGTTAGTAGGGGAAATATAACTCCAAAATATTATCAATGTAAATATGCATTACTTCACATCATATAGTTAACTAAAACTAAATTGCTAATGAGAAGCTATTAATAACACTAAGCAAAGACAGCAGCAATGGAAAACTAAGACCAATGCAAGAAAACATTGATAATGTCCTGACTACAATTTTTTTCATAAAAATGTTATTCCAGCTATCTGCATATATGATGAAACACACTTGCCCTGCTAGTAATGGTCCTGTAGCAACTGGGTTTCTTGCTAAAATCCTGAATCAGAGTCTTTGCTAAGTTCTTATAATGAACAAATTTTAATTTTCCAAAGTCTAATAACCCTTTAAGCTCTTTGTATATTTCAAATAAGTCATAAGTGATCATAAAAATCATTCACCCTTAAAAACTAATTGAAGTATTTGCATTTTTATTCTTCTGTAGCCTACCATCAACCTGTGTGTATGTGTATATATGTGTGTTTGTGTGTGTGCATATAGAGAGAGAGAGAAAAAAAAAGAGAGAGAGACTCATTAGACTCATTCAAATGTAGCAAAATTGTGGGGTGCACTATGGCTTTAGGGCTTATGAAAATATCAACCAAGATTATTCTACAAGAGCTGCACAAACATGGCAGTTTTGGAAAGGAGATTTTGAATAAGAGGAAAAGAATACAAATACCCAATGCTTTGTAAACTGGTCTCTCTCAAAATGGAAATAAAATTTGAATTCAAGAACTTGGATGCAGTTGAACTTTACAATGATTCTGTTTCCTTTTAAAATGGAAGACTGTCTTTCCAATTGTCTCTGCAAAGCTGTTTTTCCATGGCTGCGAAAGGCAACTATAACTTTGTCATATTTCTTTGTTCAACCTTAAAATAGAAACAAAGAGAAATGCTAGCTCTGTATCTTTTTTTTTTTTTTTCCAGCTTCCTGCTCGACCTCAAGTTGAAAAGGAATTTAGTTTCTGTTGCAGGAAAGATCATTAAAGAAGGTAAAATACTAGCTATGTATATTTTTTAGAAAACCTATAACAGCCTTGATAGGGAATTGAAGGAATCATTTGTCTAAAAACAGAATTCTTTAAATATTTCATTGTATTCTCCTAAAAGGATTAACGTGTATTTTTCAAGCTAAAGGTGATTGCTCCATAGAAAGATTTATGTGTAGGGGTGATTTAATGCCAGCTAATGAATTTAAATTGATAAGCTATTATTCACTAATACATTTTCTATTATCTCACTTCCAGGTTATTATAATGAAACTCAAGAATCTACAGACATTTTGCTTTCAGTGTGAAGTAAGCTTGCATTTGGATCGCCTGCTCTCTTTAGAGCAAATCTATACTATGAAAGCAGAAACAAGCCTTCAGATTTCAGAATTTGTTATTGGCCGAATTTATTGTCATTATACCTGCTTAATATGGTTAAATTAATATTAAAACAGAATACCATGAAGTAATTGCATTATTTGAAAATTCTTGCATTTTACAATGCACTTTACCTCTGAAGCAGCTAAATCCCATTTTAAAAATTAAAGGAAAACAAGCAGAGAGAAATTAAATGCTGTGTAACAAAGTTATGGGGTCTGCTTGGGCGCACTAACCTCAACAGATTATTCCTCCGCTCCTAAGAATAACCATGAAAATACAAATTTACTGGTCACCTATTTGCTTTTTACATAGCTGGTCCATTTTCCGAATTTCTCACATTCAGAGTTGTAGTTACTATTGCTACATCATGTTTGCAAAAACTTTGTCTTATTTAGTACCTATTTGCATATAATCCTGAGAGCATTATTTGAAAACTTTTCTATATCTCAAATTAATTTACATTTTTATAACCTACCTTTTTATTAAAAGACTTGCAATTTTATCAACCTATTTCTTAGAAACAATTTACTAGCTTAGAATAGAATGCAATTTTATCATACTATAATTTTCATGTACAAATGCGACAAATAAATTGAATGTTTAAAACTGTGTCTCAGTTTTTAAAGTAAATTTATGATAATTAGCCAATAAGATTGGTTTCTTGGACTATTGGCCAATACATTTTTCTGCTTACCAGTTTAAAGGGGGAAGTCTACGAAAAATAGTTTAAAATAAATAAACAATTGATATTACTGTACAGGGCTCATATAGTAATTGTTTTTTTTCTATCTTCTAAACAGTGATAAGAATATATATTTAAAGTCATGCTATAAAACATTTATCATGTGTTTCTTATAATTGTTAACATTCTCAAAATAAGCTCAACTTTCAAAAAATAATACTGTAGCTTGATTAATCCCTAACAAAAAGTGCTTTTGATTATGATATTTGCAAATTCAGTCCATAGTTTTACATGCAAAATTTCAAGAACTGGCATGTCCTTTCACACACTAAGCCCCCATTTCTGTGGCCTGTCCCAGCCAAAGATCAGAAAAAGAAATAAGACATTTCCTTGGAGATGTGGAGCATTTCGAAAAGAGCCATAGCCACTGCCAGAAAGGAAAGGCCCAAATATCTTCTGAAGATTCTGAACTGAATTTTCAGAGTTCGTATATCTTATGTTTTTTATCATCCCTTCTTCAAATTAAATATATTCCCAAGCCATTACTCCTAATTTAAGCCAAGAGCAATTCCCTTCCTTAGGTTATCAAATTTATTAGCACTATGAGTTCTAGAGAAGTTGAACTGGTATTGAATGTTATCAAAAGAGTTTTATTTTGAATATTAACTCATTTATTTTCTACCTAGTCGATTTTCTAGGATAACAAAGAGGATGCATTTAAACCAGTGGATTCTTAAGTGAGATAATTATGCTGCTCCAGATATTTGGTGATATCTGGATACATTTATTATTTTCATGGCTGTGGGAGAGATATTCCTGGCATCTAGTGTGTAGAGACCAGAGATGCTGATAAACATCCTACAACATGCAAGACAAAGAATTATCCAGTCCAAACTGTCAACAGCTCTGGGATGGGGAAACCTTGATCTAGACTATGAAGTAAAATGGGACTCATACTTAAAGCTATGTTGTTAAAATAAAATCAGTTAGCTTTATACAGAGTTATATATATATATATATATATATATATATATATATATGGTAGAAACCCCTATGACAGAATAAGTGAATGTCATTATTTTGACATGCATATGGCTTAAACTTAGATGAATCATTACAAATAATCTTCAAAAGAATGGATGAGTCTAATACATTTTCATAAATCAACATTAGAACTTCATTAGGTTCTACCAATGAAACCTCTAATTTTTAGAAAATGAGACTATCTCAGTATTTTCTTATTAGAACGACCTTATATTCTGAGTCATTATTTTATTTGTCCACTATTTGCTCATCTGAGTTCCTTCTTGTTTTCTCTCATGCTCAGGGTGTCTGATTTCAGTAACTTGGACTTACCTGAATTTTCACTTTATACTGCTTTTCTAAAGGACAAATATTTAGGAGAGTGATCTGCACCATAAGCCTACTCGAGTGAATCCCAGCTGATTAGCACAGAGCTAGTAGGAGCCCCTCTCTGTAGCTATACCTGCCAGCTACACTTGTTGGCCTGCCTTATTTTGTGGAGTCCACCTTTAAAAGTAGGGCAACCACATAAAAGAACACAAAGGGTAAGATCTCAATACCTTAGACCTCAAATTCGTAAATGGTAATGTATCATTTCCTCAATATTTTCATCTTTACAGTGCAGATGATAACGTCCCTTATATAACTTTGTAGGTATTTAGTGACTATGTATTTAAATGAGCAGTGTACTGCTACATTCAACAGCGTGAACTTTGAAGACCAAACTAGTTTGAATCTTGGCTCAGCTATGCACTAGCTGTGTTAACAAAACATTTTTTCCATATACTGAGCCCTATTTTATCATTGATAAAATGGGATTAATAATATCAACATTAGCATAAACTGTTTGAGAATTAAAGGTAGGGAGGTAATTTATCATCCAAGGAAGACATTTTGGATCATAAAATGAAGTACCGTTAATGATTACGATGAAAATCCAGGCATAAAACTGGGACTGCGTAATAGAGGAGGAGGGCGCCAAGATGGCTGAGAGAAGCCAGTGCCTGAAGGCAGCTCCCAGCAAATGAGATGCAAAGGGCTGGAGGACTTCACAGTTCCAAACAAGGTGCTGAGTTCTTTTCCATGGGACTGATAGGGCACTGGAATTGGGCCCAGGGAAGAAGCCACAAGGCAAGAGCCACCCAGGAGGGCAAATCAAGATGGGAGCAGCATGTCCCACCTGAAATGTGCAGCCAGGTTGGAGGGTCAGGGGACTTAACCCCCTCGGTGCTCCATTTCGGATCCTGTGCTTGCCTCATCCCTCCTGCAACCCTTGGTCCATGAGAGCCCTGCCAGACAGTGGGGCACTGTTGGTAGTTGATGCAAATCTGAGCAGCAGCTATCGCTGGGCTGGGCAAATTGTCACAGGGACCTCCGCAGGAGTTTGGACTAATGCCAGCGGGACAGACCGTCCCTCAGAGGGAGGCAGAGTTGAAAGCAGGAAAACAGACCATAAGGCCAGCAGGCCCCACCCTCACAGAACTCAAACTGAAGTGCTTGCTAGAGAGGTTGGCAGCAAATACACCAGCTTGACTGCAACCAGGAAGATCGAGCTCTGGGAGAGACGCCATTGGGAAGGTGGGGCCAATCTCACCAGCAAACAAACTCCAGAAAGGACCACCCACCCAACAACTTGACTGAACCCGAAAGAGCCCAGCAACGCCCTCTACAAGCCAAAAAAGATACAGCTCCAACCTCAACAGAAAAATGTCCACTCAGAGACTCCTCCTGAAATAACCAACTTCAAAGATTAAAGGGAGATAAATCCACCAAGATGGAAAAAAAAACAGTATAGAAAGGATGAAACCACCAAAGAACAGAACACCTCTTCTCTTCCCAGGGATCACAGCTCCTCACCATCAAGGGAACAAAAAAAGAGAATGAATCTGATGAATTGACAGAAGCAGGCTTCAGAACGCGGGTAATGACAAACTTCTGTGAGCTAAAAGACCATGTTCTAACCCAATGCAAAGAAACTAACAACCTTGAAAAAAGGTTAGATGAAATGCTAACTAGAATAACCAGCTTAGAGAGGAACATAAACGACTTGATGGAGCTGAAAAACACAGTACAAGAACTTTGAGAGGGATACACAAGTTTCAATTGCTGAATCAATCAAGCAGAAGAAAGGATATCAGATCAATGAAATAAAACGAGAAGGCAAGATTAGAGAAAAAAGAGTAAAAAGAAATGAACAAAACCTCCAAGAACTATGGGATTATGTGAAAAGAACTAATCTAGGCTTGATTGGCATACCTGAATTTGATGGGGAGAATGAATCCAAGTTGGAAAACACTCATCAGGATACTATCCAAGAGAACTTTCCCAACCTAACAAGGCAGGCCAACATTCAAATCCAGAAAATACAGAGAACACCACAAAGATATTCCTCAAGAATAGCAACCCCGAGGCACATAGTTGTCAGATTCACCCGGGTTGAAATGAAGGAAAAAATCCTAAGGGCAGCCAGAGAGAAAGGTCGAGTCACCCACAAAAGAAAGCTCATCAGACCCACAGAGGATTTTTCAGCAGAAACCCTGCAAGCTAGAAGGGAATGGGGGCCAATATTCAACATCCTTAAAGAAAAGAACGTTAAACTGAGAATTTCATATCCGGCCAAACTAAGCTTCATAAATGAAGGAGAAATAAAATCCTTTACAGACAAGCAATTGCTGAGAGATTTTGTCACTACAAACCTGCCTTACAGGAGCTACTGAAGGAAGTACTAAAAAGGGAAAGAAATAACCAGTACCAGCCACTACAAAAACATACCAAATGGTAAAGAATAATGAGGCAATGAAGGAGCCATGTAAATTAACAGGCAAAACAACCAGCCAGTAACAAAATGGCAGGATCAAATTGAAACATAACAATATTAACATTGAATGTAAATGGCCTAAACACTCCAATCAAAAGACACACACTGGCAAATGATAAAAAGTCAAGACCCATCAGTGCGCTGTATTCAGGAGACCCATCTCACATGCAAAGATTCACATAGACTCAAAATAAAGGGATGGAAGAAGATTTACGAAAGCAAATGGAGAGCAAAAAAAGGCACTGGTAGTAATCCTAGTCTCTGATAAAACTGACTTTAAGCCAACAAAGATAAAAAGAGACAAAGAAGGGCATTATATAATGGTAAAAGGATCAATACAACAAGAAGAGCCAACTATCCTAAATATTTATGCATCCAATACAGGAGCACCCAAATACATAAAGCAAGTTCTTAAAGACCTACAAAGACACTTAAGACTCCCACACAATAATAGTGGGAGACTTTAACACTCCACTGACAATATTGGACAGATCAGTGAGACAGAAATTCAACAAGGATATCTAGGACTTGAATGCAGATTTGGACCAAGTGGACCTAAATGACATTTACAGGACACTCCACCCCAAATTCACATAATACACATTCTTCTCAGCACCACATTGCACTTACTCCAAAACTGACCACATAATTGGAAGTAAATCACTCCTCAGCAAATGCAAAAGAACAGAAATTATAACAAACGGTCTCTCAGACCATAGCGCAATCAAATTAGAACTCAGGATTAAGAAAAGCACTCAAAACCACACAATCACATGGAAACTGAACAACTTGCTCCTGAATGAAATGAAGGCAGAAATAAAAACGTTCTTTGAAACCAACAAGAATGAAGATACAATGTACCAGATCCTATGGGACACATTTAAAGCAGTGTCTAGAGGGAAATTTATAGCAATAGATGTCCACATGAGAAACAAGGAAACATCTAAAATCAACACCCAATAATCAAAATTGAAAGAGCTAGAGGAGCAAGATCAAAAAAACTCAAAAGCAAGCAGAAGACAAGAAGTAACTAAGATCAGGGCAGAACTGAAGGAGACAGAGATACAAAAATCCTTTCAAAAAATCAATAAATCCAGGAGCTGGTTTTTTGAAAAGATCAACAAAATAGACCACTAGCTAGACTAATAAAAAAG